CAGATTGTCCTTTTGATAGTTGACAGCTGCAGCGCACTTGACCTTTGTTTGTTTAGCTGCAGTGTGGTCACTCACTGTGAGAAGCTCGTCCTGTAGCGCTGCACTCTACACTCATCCATGCTGTTCGGGGCGGGAGCTTCTGGCAGCGCACAAGCAATTTACTCCTGTTGACTAAAGCAAAAGCTGTTTGTTTGCCATTTGTGTATATTGAGTGTGTAAGAATGTTTGCTTTTGTCTCAGGGAATGGGAAGAGATTGAATTCATTCAGAGTACTATTAGACTGTCCCATTTTGTAATTAAAACTCCATGTAAATTAGAAGAGATACTCTCTGTGTCTCCGACTTCTTCTCCTCTCTGGGTAATTTCTCCAGGGGGGCCGGCATGGATGGATGGCTTAAGAGGCTTTTATGGACACTGAGATATTATTAAAACCTCTGGCACGAAATAGAGGGTCAAGAAACCTTAGATAAAGATATGCCGTGGTGGGTGTCACGGGTTTGGCCAACCTGAACCGCGAGGAGTGTTGATGAGATGACAGGCCGACGTGCCAGTCAGCCCGCTGCAGAGTTGCCAGCTCACCAGATATTTTATGCAGTATCTGACCCTTCCAAAGTTGCCCTAGCCCCTCTGCTGCCCCACCTCCCCCCAACCTTCCCAGCTGTCTTTGGCTGGCAGGCATTTGTAAGCTTCTTTAACTGCTTGTTTGATGTCTCATGCTGGCCTGTAAAGGAGATGCAGGAGCGCGTGTTTCCCCCGGGACGAGGAAACAGTAGGCAGAGTCAGGACAGGTGTCACTCCCGAATATTCACACTAAGCTTTGCAGCGTTGCGAACACTGTGCCATGTCACACACTCCTCATAAAGCCTTCCAGTGCGTTGCACACATGCTTCACTTAATACTGCTGTCTACAGTATACAAGCACAGGGATTCGTGAAGGTGTTTTAAGTTGTGGGTGCTGAAATTTTAAGCAGCATATCATTCGCCTTTGGCATAAAACCTTGTATCTCTAAAATTACATGGAAAAACATCTAGTTCTGTTCACTTCCACTGAAAGTTAAAGCAGCACTATGTACATTTTTTTTTTTAATTGAAATAAGTAGCATTACTGAGTAAGTAGAGTGAAGATTGCTAAAATATGGTGTGTGTGCTGCTACGAGTCACCTTGTAAAGCCTGAAATAATATTTTAAAAGTCAGAGGTGTTGGGTCAAATTTCACTGGAGATTATCAGACCATGTCATACGTCTTTACGTATTTACCTCACACTCACAGGCTCAAAAAGAAGGTCCAGTTTGTTGTTTATGTTTATGTACCAAATGCAGAATCAACATTATAGTGATAAAGATATGATGTCAGTAGTGAACAGTTCACTTATATCCTCAGAGGACACATCCTGTACCAAGTCCTCTTTGAATATTCTTTCACTACCCTTGCAATCATCAGATTCATCTTCTCGGGGAAAATAGCCAACAGTTTTTAAAGGAAGGGATTTGGCTTGTTGTAATAAAAAGGCTATGCTATCTTAAACAGTATATAACTATAAAACAAATAAATAAAAATAAAACTCCACCTTAAAACCAAGCTCACACAGGTCTCCACTACGTTCAAATTAAAGTTCTATTTTTTATTTAGTATTTTTAGCAGTTGCAGTGCAAAAAAAATCCTAAAATCTGGGAATGCTATGACCGTCTCAGTACCCCCTCTAACCACGTCCCTCCTAAAGCATGATTGGCTATGGTTTTATATCATGCACTTGATAAAAGAAGCAAAAATGCTCGTCGGTCAAAAATCGTTTTTTTCTCTAACGTCTCATCCACGATCTGATTATGCTTGGGGATAAAAAGTCCTCTCAGCAATTAAAATTTGGCTTCAGCAGTATCAGCCATATTGCTGGGTCAGGAATGTATACCTCAGAAGCTCAATAAGAGAACATGATTGATTTTTGTAATTCGTTTGAAAGTACAGACAAGAAATTAGAACCACAATCAGTTATCTACTGTTCTGTAGAAACTGTCTTGATTTGTAATTGCTTATTATGTCCAAAAAAAACACCTCCTGGCCCTTACTTCACATAATTAGTTCCTTCCTGCATGGCACTGTAAAAGTCTCATTTAAAAAAAAAAAAGGCAGCAGAAGTCAACTGATAACACACTCCCTCTGTGTAATTAATGGCCTCAGCCATGAGCCGCTGAGCTGACAATGAAGCCGCGCCGTTCAGAATGAGCACCAAGGGGGAGGCTGAAACATTGCGTCTGTGAGCCATCTGCTTCCATTTCAGTGTTCGCTCTGTTTGTCATATGTAGGGGATTCACTGTTTGCAGCCAGCGTTTTCTGTTCCAATGCATGACTTTTTGTCATTTTGGATCACTTAATTAATTCGAGTCGCCGTACAGCTGGGGTTTAATCTGCGGGTTCACAAGCGCTCTATTTCTCCAGGACGGCAGAGATCAGCACTTCTCTAACCTGCAGAACCCTTATATATCTTTCTAAATGTGCCATAGATATGGTGGGCTCATCTGCAGACTTTTCCAGCTCAAAACTGGGCTTTCTGCGCACCTATTAAGACCGATAATGGTCTGAGTGAGTGAGCCCGGCTCAGTCGCGCTCCCTGCTCAATTTTCACCCTTCTAACAGGCAATCTCCTCCTGATACTCCCCATAGGCCCTCCTCCAGGATTGAGTGCAGGATCTTGGTTTGGAATCTGGGTTGCACAGCCCTTCAATCAGAGCCATGCCATGTATCGGATTGCACGGTCCACACATAACATCCGCTCTGACCTGTGGGTTTGTGCCATTTGATTAGATAAGGAGGGATCCAGAGTGAAATTTAATGATGTTACCTTGCAGTCTCAGACACCAGCAGTGTCTATCCATGTATTTTTGGCATTTAAATGACCTTAAAAATGGTTGCAGGTGCATTCACTTTCGCCTACAGCCAGCAAGGGTGTATCTAAATCCCATGGGGACAGAGAATTGATTCGAGTCTGATTGCCAGGCTCAGACATCATCCTTAATGCATTTCCTTAGCTGTTTACATGCAAATAATGAAAGCAAATGATGGAAGCATTGCATAGCATGTGCGTATTGACCCGTGAAGCTGGTGGAGGAAAATATCCGCGCATGGTATGAAGCTAGTTCGATCTGACAGGGAAAAAATAATGGTTAAAAAAAAGGAAAAATACATATACATTACCACTCCTACGGTTGTGCAAGGGTGAAACATCGAGTCTTCAGCTGGCAGTAGATGCATATTAAATGCATTTGCCTTCTTGATTATCAAATTCTCTTTCGTATTGCGTTAAATACGAGTCATTTGATTGTCAGAAATTTGCTTGCATTTAAAGCATTTCCTTGCTGTTTACATGCAAATAATGGCAACACTGCACAGTGTAAGTGCACTGACCCATGAAGCTGGTGGAGGAAAATATCCATGCATGATATGATGGCAGTTCTGACAAGGAAATACAAATAAAAAATACTGAAATTTACATGTACAGCACCACTTCTGAGGTTGTGTAATGTACATCTTGTGGAACATCAAGTCCTGAATTTGTACACATACTGTCACCATCATATAAACAGAACTTGAAGCTTTCATTTTTGAGAAATAGGATAAAATCAAGCTCCGCTCTTGCTTCAGATCTGGAAAATCCACCAGCACTTCTGTCCATCGTTCCACTTTGGAAGAACTTGGATGATGAGAAGCAGAAAATGCACAAGAAGAAGATACAAACTGATCCAGCTTTGAGATGAGCAGTATTTTTTCCATTCTTTTGTTATACAGGTCTTCAGCTGTGCAATCATATGGGGGCTTTGTTATCATATGAGCTTAATAAGACACACATTTTCAAGGGGAGACAGATCTAGACTGCAGGCAAGTCAATCTAGCACCCGCACTCTCTGATTGATTACACAGCCATGTAACAGGTGAAGAATGTGGCATCTGAAAAAGATGATGCCCAAAAGGCAGCATATGTTGCTCCAAAATGTGTTTGGCGTTAATGATGCATTCACAGATGTGCAAGTTACCCATTTATACACCCCATACCATGACAGACGCTGGCCTTTCAACTTCACCCTAGAAACAATCTGGATGGTCCTATTCTCCACCGGAGAACACAACATCCATTATTTCCATAACAATCTGAAAGGTTGAGTTGTCAGACCACAATTGTCATTTCCACTGTGCATCTGTCTATGTCAGATGAGCTCCAGCCCAGAGAAACTGGCAGCGTTTCTGGATGTTGTTGACATATGACTTCCACTGTGCAGTGTACAGTCTTAACTTGCATTTGTGGAACAGTGTTTATTGACAACGGCGTTCAAAGTATTCCCAAGCCCATATGGTGATATCCATCACAGAAGCATGTTGGTTTTTAATGCAGTGCTGTCTGAGGGATCAAAGGCCACAAGCGTTCAGCTATGGGTTTTGGCCTTTTCCTTTATGCACATAGATTTGATGCATTTTTGGCGAAGTGGCGAGCCTCAACTCGACCTTGCTCATAAAGGAGTAGGTCTTTCCTGGATGCTCCTTTTATAACCAACCATAATTACATCATATGTTTAAGTTGTTTTGTGAACATTTCACAATGTTCCTTGTCTTAAATTCCCTGTCCCAACTTCAGAAAAAGCATATATTTACAAAAAACAATCAAGTTGATAAGCTAAATCATTACATATCTTGTCTTTGCCCTGTTTTTATTCAAATACAGATCAAAGTAGATTTATAAATCACTGATTTCTGTTTTTATTTGCATTCCACATATTGCCCCAACTTTTTTGGAACTGGGTTTGTACTTAATGGCTGTTGAAATGAAATTAAATAAATGTATGCTGGTGTCTGACTTTTGCACAGTACTGTGTACTGAATGTACTTACTTTCTTTATAATCTCATTCTTTTTATACTGTGTTAAATATGATAAATTTGTTTTTCATAAATATGCTTTGCCTAAACCTAAAATAAGCAGGGACATTATTAATGAAATATTCCTGGTTGTTCTAGGTATGACACTATAACTAATCAGTGGGAGACGGTATCCCCCTTGCCCAAGCCTGTGCACTCGGCAGCAGCCACGGTCTGTGGAGGGAAGATCTATGTGTTTGGAGGGGTGAATGAGGCTGGCCGTTCGGCTGGAGTACTGCAGTCATATGTGCCTCAGACCAACGCCTGGAGCTTCATAGAATCCCCAATGATTGGTAAGTCTGACCATTTTACCACTTTGTCTTCTGTCTGGATCTGAACTTCTAAATGACGTGCTCTGTTAACGTTGTGCTTAAAGGAGCACACCAGCATTTTTTAGTCCAGTCGCTGTGTGTCACATCTGTCACTAAGGACAATCATTTCAATGTGTCTCCTTGTACTTAGAAAATAACAGAAAACCTGTTGGCCCGAGTGCGAAAGTAACTGCCCACTGTGTTCTATTATGCCTTTCAAGTCAATGGGTTTTCAAAGTGCAGGGAAACATGTTATGATTGTTAATATGTTTTTGACCACATGCTACAGATGTGGCAGATAATGTGGTTGAAAAACACTTCCTTTAATAAAAACTATTTAATAGTGTGTTCCATGTCATTTAAGCACAGATTAATCATAAACCTTAGTAAAGCAGATGGAAAGATTTAATGGCACTTGAAATAAAAGGTGAAAACGAGATTAAATGACAATGCAACTGGGTGAATATATGAATTGTGTATTACTTAGGTAGGTTGAGTTCAAGCTCTGTAGTCTGTTGGGTTGCAATTCTTTCAGAAATTTCTGTCAATTCTCTCTATACTCAATAATAAATAGACAGTCAAGTGTTAAAAGCGCTGTGTGAGTGCAAGAGGTGGGTGTGCGCTGATCTAGACTGGAGTAAAGCTCTGGGAAAAGTGCTGTCTTCAGTCTGTAACTCGTGGCAAATTCAGCCTTTAGAGACAGGTTACCAGGTGCAGCCCTTAGGAGGTGAAAAAAGAAAGGTTACCATTTGCCGATTAGGGAGAAAAATAACTGTGGAGGAAAAAAAAACAGAACAGCCAGCAAAACTCAAGACACCCTTAAACCATCCTTATAAGCTTATATAGAAGTGAAATATTTAATCTTTCCTTTTTTCTGTCTGGCTGTTTTATAGAGATAAAGTGTGTTTCACAAAGAACACTTGGTCTGAAGTGTTCGCAAGAATAACCGTGACGCGAACACAGGCAGACTCGACACCAACTCTCATAAAATCATGAATATACCCGCGAGCGAGCACACTGCTACAAAACTAGTTGATGGAGGCCAAATCGAGGCTAACTAATGTTTGGCACCGAACTTCTTTACAAGTTTTCAGTGAATGGATACAGTAGTTTAGCTCTCAGCTTCTTTCTTTTGTCCTCTTATTGCATGAGTTTGCAGTTAAGGGGCTCCTCTGATACACTGTGGGAGTGAGTAAATAATTCAGGCTAGAAGAACATACAGATTTTTGCACTTTGTAGCACATTTTCTGCCCCCTTCGCACTGATTCACACCGTGGAATTACATAATTCAGCTTATGGAAAAGAAGCTGTTTCCATTTATAGATGTGAAAATGTTGTTTCTACTCTGAACTGTATCAGATGCATTAACACCATGCAGTTCTTCTACTTTAAATCCTTTATTTCTTGTAGGAGAGAATATGTTAGGCTTATATAACATCAAAAGGATTCAACTGCTTAAGATGAACGAATCCAGTAAATTAACACAGAATTTAATAACTCATGCAGCGAGCCATCCAACAAAGTTTACAGGGCAGCCCTATATATACCTAAGACGTGGAGTCTGACTGATGAAGCAGAAGTAGGTAACTAATACTAATGTAATATTGCTTCATACACCTGGATTGGATTTCAAAAGGAGAGTTTCGCCATGCCAGCATTTGCGCACTGGAACCAAGTAATGAGCTGATTAAAAAGGTTTGTGTGACTAATGGTTTGTAAATAACACGGCACATTCTGGCAGGTCAAGTGAGGTCTCTGTAAAAGGTTAGAACACACGGAGTGTTGACACTTGGCGGAATCAGGTTACATCCTTTTAAGAAGCACGCGCACAGCAGCACAGCTCACAGCCAGAGACACAGATACATGATAGTAGCTCGACATACAGAGTAAATGCAAAGAGCTCACACACACTCACACTATGTAACTATATGTAGCTACAAAGCTAAACTACAGCTTTTGGTTAGGAATAGAAAACAGAAACCACTGACCAAACACATTTTTCATAGTACTGTGCAAAAGTCAGGGAGTACTCTCATTTATTTCCAGTCAAAATGAACATTAAGAACAAGTTATTAATTTTTCAGTGTCAGGAAAAAAGCTGAAAATGTATTAAATAATATATTTAATTACAGAGAAGCCTCAGTTACTGAATATAATACCAGTTTGTTCAGTATTCAGTGGGACCACTCCTTCTCTTTATTACAGCTTACGTTCTTTTCAGGAAGCTTGTTCAGTTATTCAAGGTAATCTCATGTTTTTTCGCACCTCAGTTCAGTCTTAGAAGTTGGTTGCATTTTCTGTTTCTCACAATCCGAGTAATCACAAACACATTCAGTGATGTTGAGGTCTGGACTCTGGAGTGCTTCTTCATTTGATTTGCAAATTTTCTTTCCTTTTCTCAGTAAGGGCTTCTTGGCAGCTACACATCCTCTCAGACTCATAGTGTTGAGTTGTCTTCTCACAGTGGAAGGAGGGGCTGAAACATCTGTGGATTTTTTCAGATGTGAAACAAGAGTGGAGCTTGATTTTCTCCTCTTTCTCAAAGATGAAAGCTTTAAGTACTGTTTATCTGGGGACAGTGTTGGTGGTCTACCAGGTCTTGTATAGTTGAATAATTAGATTTTTCTAATTCTCTGTACAGTTCAGTTGTTGAGATGTAAATGAAGTCATTCAGAGTGCTTTAATATTAAAAGCTCTTTTTTTGTAAAACATAGTAAGTCAGAATTGTTCACAGTGGTGGTGATGGGAACAAGATGGGAAAACCTCTTAAAACTACCACACAGAAAGTTATAACACGAGACGTTTTACAATAATTTTACAGTAAGACTTTTGTCATAAAACTTGATCGCTGATCATTTTGAATAGTAAATAAAATGGATATATTTGTGTTGAAGCAGTTGCAACCCCTGGTTCCCATCACCTCACCACCACTGTAAAGATATCCGAGTTGGTAAGTTTTTCTACAATGAACCATTTCACATTAAAACCAATCTCAATGACTTTGTTTACATCTCAATGATTATTTAATGCCGAAAATTTGAGAAATTGGTGGAATTCCCCTTTAATGGACGTTTTGACTGGAAATTAAATAAATAAAGGGTGGTCTTATAAAGGGTATTATATGCACAGAATGAAGGTATTTTCATTTATTTAATTCATTTTGTCTGTTTCAGTGAAAGGGGAGATCAGATCACTCTAAAGTGGAGACTGTATAAGTAATCAATAGAATATGATAGAAAGTGTGTTACTGTAAATAATATTATTGCTGTGATTTGGTCACAGGCACAAGTGAGGTGTTGTTACTTGGTGTGATACAGGAATGGTAAAAAGTAATCACACAGCATGGTCAGTATAATCAAATTATAATCAAATTTTTGCCACAGTAACCAAGACCTTCTTGTACGTTTTTCCTAAACAGGAACACTAAAAGGTCACTAAAGGACAGGTGACTTTGAGTTCAGAGCGTGTGCTCTGGTGTTACACCTGGCGGGTGACAGGTTCCAATAGAGCGGCGATGTGGAAGAGCAGACATGCTCTGCTGATTACTGCTAAAGCGCTCGTTCATCCGCAAAGGGCTCTAGTAATGTCAAGTGGTGCAGGTATGCTTGAGCAGACAAATAATGAAGTGTCTGAGGCCCCGTGGCAGGGTGTGTGTGTGTTAGAAATGCCTCTACATCATCCCATTTACTCTTATGCATGCCTGCTTTTGGACCTGAGTGCATTTATTTAGACATATTTTTGGGGCTACAGGCAGTTTTGGCCTGAAGGTTCAGTGTGGAGTTTCAGCCATGTCATCCATGGCATTTCCTTGCTTAAAAGCAGCCTGGGGCTTTGATCCAGAAATATAGCAGTGAGTCACAAAGAACTGATACAAACCTTTCATAAAACCTTTCTCTGCGTTCTTTTCTGTTGAATTGAGCCCGGCACAGAAGCAGCCAAGCACTGTTAAGAAAACTTTATTGTTGTCAAAAATAAAGGCTGTATAGCAGATCTAGTTAGCTGTTAATGCTTAGTCATTTTAACATATTTAGCCTCCTAAGTTGTAAGGGCCTGTATATGGGCCAACACATCAGTTCCACAGTCTTTTAGTTGTTACCAAATCAATTATAGTAGTTACTGAGTAATAAGTCTTAAGATTATTTATTGAAAGATCAGCCTGCAATTAAAGAGGTTTGACACAGTCAATAAAGGATCCATGTCATGGAAAACTGGATTTCCTTTCGATATAGTATGTAAACACTGCTAAAGTCTCAAAACGTACTGTTGACTCCCAATTCCACATGTGGAAACTAACCAGTTTTGACTTCACTTTTGATGTCTTAAACTTAAAAAAAAAAATGTATATACATCCACCTATTCAGTCTACAGCAGTTTAGACCCACCCTTTGACACTAAAGTTACAAGGAGTGTTTTAGCATTGACTGCTTTCTGAGGCATAATACCCAACAGCACAGAGGTCTTTTACATGTATGAAGTCTTAAAGGCACAGTGACTAAAACAGCCTGTTTAATTCTAAGGGATAACGAGAATTTGGAAATTTACTCATGTAAAAATGAATTACAGCTGTTTTGGCATATAAAACCCACACAAACTTCATAAGCGGACCTAAAGGAAAGCAACAAAATAGGATGTGGGCCTTTTACATTATGGAGTGCAGATCTGCTTCTCCAGTGAATTTGAAGAGATATCATCACCAGCACTGATTAACCCTAGAATTGAGAGTCAAGAGTCATATTCAATTATGTAGTGAGTTATGCACTGAATTACATTTACATTTGATTTGCATTCTGTATTGACAGTTTTGCATCTGCTCTTACAAGTTTTTTTTTCCATTTATTTAGATGAAGAAATGAGAAACACATGGCAAAAATGTAAAGAATGTGTGCTTAACACATTTCATCAAATTTAAATTATAATTAAATACAATGTCTAAACATCTTGTCTTATTAAAAACATAAGCATGGTATGATTTTCTCTACCTG